CTTGCAGTAGATTTCTCAGCTTACAAAAAAAGTTTAAAAGTTAAAAAAAATCGTTAGGGTCTGTGCAATAAAGTGTTTGCAGTCTTATTTTATCTGAGAAACTCCTTATGGATGTCATAATTGTTATATATTGAACACAGTTATTTATACTTATGCAGTTGCATAACATTGAAATAAAAGTTCAGCATGAAACTGTTGTGTTAGCATTTTTTCTTGAACAGCTTTCAGGGCTGAAATGTAAGGCACATTTCTGAAGTCCTCAGAGGCTGGCAATTTTGGTGGTTTTCTGGGGCCAGCTCAGTGCACCCTTTAAGGCATATGCTGGTGGAGGGTTTTGCATGAGGAAATGCAGTTTGGTCTGGGGAAGAAGATATGCATGGCAGAGTATCTCAGGTTATGTCTGGATCCTCTGCTCTGCTGTTGGGGATAGGTAAGTGTGGTGTGGTGGTGGATGACATAGCATGACTGCTGCCTGCAGTAGTCTGTATTGTGACATTTAAACTCTTTCTGCAAAACACATACAATCATTCATTACTATCAGAGCGTATATACTCTTTACTCTTCTGCTGCTCCTAACTCTGCAGAGCTGCCCAGGAGTTGGGAATTTGTATTCATATTTTATTATTGCATTGTTTTGTATGTATTTTTCCTCTGTACAGAACTAAGTGCAGTGGTGTTACAGCATCACTTTTGCTGCTTTTCTCTCTGTTGTTTGAAACATATAGGTATGGGGAAGTTGCAGTTCACCCCCAACTTTTCCAGTTTGCTGCAGCCCGTTAGAAGGCAGGTAGTCTTGAAAATCTGGTGTGCTGATGGGGGGTGATTGGTGGAGGAGAGAAGAGCAGGATCCAGCAGCTGAGGGAAGGGAAATTACAGGAGTTGAGGGTTGACTGTCTCATTGCTCTGCCACCTGTGCTATCCATGGCTGTGGACAGCATAGTTCTCTCTGCCAGGAGAGGCAGAGAAACCTGCATGCCCAGAGTGAGCCTCCAGAGTGTTGTGGGACAGAGGAAGGGGGTGGTGTATGGAGTTTGTGTTAAGGGGGAAGTTGGGAGAATTGTTACATTCTGGCATGGCCTGACGCATTCCTTTTTTCAACTTACCTGGGATAGAAGTGTTTCCATGGTCTGAAGGGGAACGCAAGCTCCCTTTTTCAGCGCTGAACTCTCAATTTGGTAAGCACCATTAGGCCCCTTATTGTAGTCTTGCGTAGTGTACAAGACTTCACAGGGACATCCAGCTTGATTTGGATCAAAACTGAGAGGGCACATCAGAAGGAAAAGATCACAGGACAGGAAAATACTAGAGGGTGTATGAATGCATGTCCCACTGCATGCCTTGAGTTAGCAACAGTTTTTCTTTCCATTGACTGTATCTGTAGTATAGTAGTTGATTAGAACTGACCAAACCAATCTTCCAAGTACCTGCCAAGGATGCATTTGAATGAACTGAGTGTAGGAATCACAGAATGGTTTGGGCTGGAAGAGACTTTAAAGTTCCAACCACTGCGGATAGGAAGCAATGCTAAAGGTTATAGTTCAAAAGACAAAATTTGGGAGCATTAGGAGGAACCGAGAAGACTGCAGAGTAAGAAGTAACAGTGTAGTTGTCTTCTAGTACACATCAAGCTTTAAGAGATGCATATCTGAAGGGGAAGAGGCTGTCCAAGGATTTGGTAGGGAAAAACGTCTTCTGCTACTGGGTGAGAAGAATTCCCATTGTTTTTGTTTGATCACGGAGGTATAGTATAGATTGTTCGGGAAGGGACTTCACCTCTTCTTTTTGCAGTTACAGACAAAACCAGTGAATGAGAGAGAGAGTTCTTAAAAAATGTTCCACTGATATCAGGGTGCATATTTGAAATCAACGTATGTAGAAATTGGCCCAATTAACCATCTTGTTCAGAGTAAAATGCCCCTTCAAAAATTGACTTGCTTCTTACTGAGGGAACTTGCTTAAACTCAGGTAAGGAAAGAAGAAATTGGCTCCAAGTTTTGGTTTGTCCTGGTGAAATAAAGCTAAGTGCTTGCCAGTCTGTGAAATAATGAAGATATGCTCAAGTTCCTTCTCTTATATACTGATAAACTCTGTGTTGTGGTATTGAGTTGTACTGTGACTTTCAGGGATGTCTAGAGCAGGAGCTAGGGTGGTGACAATATAAATTTTGTTAGGCACCACCTCAGACAGTTCTCTTGTTCTGTCTGTGTGTTGGCTTCATAGCCATATTTGGGAAAAAAAAAAAAAAAAAAACAAAACAAAACGAGAGAGAAAAGGCATGATTGAAAGCCAAACTAGTGCATCACATCAGAGCTTGACTAGGTACACAGTTCTATAAGAAAAAATCCATTGCCTCTTTCCATGTATATCCTTACTAAGTAATCCCTGAAGACTAAATCTTTGAATTTAACAGTCTCAATGCATAATCTCTGACATTTTAATGTATTACATCTAGAGATAAATTTTCCCTCACAGTAGTTAGTCCCTGCATTTAGGGTTTGCATGTTCTGAAATATAAACAGTGTATGCTGTTTTGTTTGCACAGTGTCTTAAGAATTACATTTTTTTCAGGCAAGTAGAGTAAAGCACACTGTAAAGAAAAGAGCAAAATTAGAACACCGGGAGATACGGTAATCTAAAACAAGTTGTGTGAGGGGCAAGGGATAGATTGCAAATACATATGTCACAGGAAACATATTTTGCCTTCTCAAACATCTGAGTTTTAACAATAAATGTATACCTGAGTCTACACCATGACACAGGATATAGCATTTCAGAAACTAAAGGTGGTTAAATCCTGTGCTGTTCTCTCCAAACAGAAGAGCATTTCAGAATACCTTTCAGCACAACATGCAGTTTTCTCTCCAGTCACTACTGTAGGTGTATCTCTCACTGTTAACTACCTGATACTTGAACAATATTTTTTGTGCCCTTTGAGTGTGTTATGTTCCCTTTTGATGTTGTTTTTTGTCTAACACCTTCCTGACTCCACCATTTCAAGAGAGAAATAAGTCTTTCTTTGGTGGAGCACACACTGGCAGTCATGCTGGATTTTTAAGATATTGGAGATTGCTCATTTAACCAATTGGATTTGTAGAGTGAGAGGAAAATGCACCTTGAACCTTGGGCTGAGTTCAGCAATGTCCCTGCCTTGCTCCCAAGGTCAATTCAGGGTGTGCTCAGCTCAGGCAGCATGGTCTGCTCAGGGTCGTTCTGGCCTGTAGCTGAGCCCTTGCAGAAGGGCAGGCAGCCCATGCAGCTTCGTGCTGGGCAGCTGAACTACAGCACCTGCACATTGCATCAGGAGGAGTCGGCAGCAGCCACTTGAACAGGGAACTGGGACCAGCAATACAGAGAGGCGACATTTTAGCATGCCAAATCCAAGGGTGTTTGTAGGCAACCGGAGAAGAACAGCAAACACCTTGGGCAAAAACCCTTGGGCAGCACAGAGCTATGAGGGCAGGAGGAGAAGCTGGAGGGTAGGGCAGTGATGTGTGTGATGCAAAGGCATCTAAAAGCTGCAAATATGCATATTGCATGAATCTGATCTGCTAACATAGAGTAAAAGGGGCTTTTCAAATGAGAGGTATTTCTGGAGGAAATGCTTTTGAACAGCAGTTGAAGCTGAATGTGGAGTCCTGCATGGGAAGTGTTGAGAGAGAATTGGCCTTCACGTGTCAGAGAGCAACTGCAGCTGCAGCCTAACACAGCAGGGAGTGGTACTGGGCAAGCCTCCCCATGGTGCATACTCCAGGAGGCAGAAAGGTAGTACCACCAGGAAAGTTGTGTTACCCATCAGGGTTAGCCTGTTATTAAAGTAGTAAGTAAATATAAATGACTTTATGGTGATACAGGGCAGATGAGTACGCCCAGCAAGCTCCCATTAGATCCTTGGTCTAATACACATGCTCTGCCTTGCTCTGGGGTTATTCACGTGTGATGGCAGAAAAAGCAATTGGCTGTATATAAATAATAAGCCTTTATTCCTGCCTAGGTGTAGTATCTCAACTGAAGCAGGGTTCATTGTCTCTGAATTTATTCCAGGGATGCACACCAGAAAGAACATGAAATAACTGCTGACACCAAGAGCACCTGTGGGATGAGGTTGTCCAGTGCACTGCCCCCTTTGCAGCCTCTAGTTTTCTCATCTGGGCTGTGGCTGAAGGGAACAGTCCACTCCAGGATGACAAAGGAATGGCTCATGCCTGTTAGCATTGAGGGGTTTTGCCCTGTGCAAACAAGCAGAGTACTGAACTCACCAATTAGACCCACAAATGTACAGTTTTATGGTGAAAGATCATTCTGTCTTTACTTACTGTGGAGCTTAGAGGACAGGAGCAGGGCCTGCCTCAGGCTAAAAGATGGATAGACAGAATTTCAGTGGCCAAGAATTCTCTTAAGGATCAAAAGTATTTAAAAAAAAATTTTTTTAAAAATCACAGAGGTGATACATGCTGTTTCTGCCAGTCCTCCAGGCATATCTTATAAAACTATAAATCTGCTGTTCTTCACAGATAGTGGTTATTTTGTTGGTTTTGCAGAGTAGGCTACACTACTGCCAGCTCTTATAAAACATATAAAACACTGCTTTTCAAGGGTGTTTGGTGGAGCGTGGAATTTGGTTGAGTTTTCTTGTTTGGTTGATTTTTGGTTGGAATTTTTTGTTGTTGTTGTTTTTCTGGTTTTTTTTTGTTTGTTTGGTTGGGTTTTTTTGTTTGTTTTTTTTTGGGAGTGGTGGTGATTAGGTTTTCTTTTTTTTTTAAAAGAAGGAAATTTTGGCTGTTAGATTTTCTAAGTGCATTAGCCATATTATTGGTACAATAGGGTTAACGTTGAGTTGAACTGGAACTTCTCTATAAGATAAGTTATTAATTTTCAAGATTCAGGTAATAATTTATTCTAATTTTTTCATTATTTTCTAGAAGTTTTAACACAGGTAGAGAGGATATTACAAAAGTTAAGAAAATACATGTCACAATAAAAACAGTGAGATGTCTTTCAACTTAATACAGTTGCTGTAGACATTTTCTATGTCCCCATCCTAGACTTACAGTTGCTGTAAACTTTGCTTGAAATAGCACCCCAAATGAAGATGGCACTACAAGATAAAACAGCGACAACTGCAATGATTCCTGACGTGTCCTTCCCACAGGAAAGTGAGATGGTGGCCAGCTAAACCCAACTAGCCATTTGGATTCAGAGTGCCTTGTTCCTTCAGGGTCTTCAATTTTATTCAGATGTTGTTTGTACTAGGTGATTAAATCAATCTTAGAACAGGTGTAGTCCAGAGGGTTGTAGCTTAAATTGATTATAAACTGGCCGCTTAGGGGCACTAGCTGGTCACCTGATACAATGTGGATCCTCTTATGGGCACAAGTAAGATAGATAGATACTCTTGAGAATTGAAAACACATCTGTGCTGAATGTAGTAAATTTGTTGTAACTCAGATCAACATGTTGTAACTTCCTGAGGTTGTGAAATACCTTGTTACCTATTGATGTCAGTTCACAGCATGATAATATTAGCACCTCTAAATTGGATAGTTGTTGGAACAGTTTGTCCTTTGGCATGACCCCCAAATCAAAGTTATTTTGACTAAGGTCCAAGAACATGAGGTTTTTCAAGTCTTGAAAGATGTGCTCAATGCTAGTATTACTGTGGGATGAGGAAAGATTGTTCGAGATGCAGATTTTGGAAAGGACTCTGTAAGGTGTTGATATAGACAGGAATGAAGGGTAAGTCCAGCAGCTCTAGGCTAGCACTGTCCTAAATGAGTATGTCCTGGAGATGGAGGTGTTTGTTGTAGTTCAGATTCAGGTGACAAAGTCTGCTCAGAGCTCTCAGTGCTTTGCTAGAGCATCAGAACTTTAAAAGTGACTCTGACTTAAATCTAGATGTTGAAGCTTTGCCAGTTTCCCCAAATAGCCAGAGCCTGGCTGCAGAACCTGTGAGTTACCCTTGATGTGGAGGTGGGTGCAGGAGGGGAAGGCAGCAGAGCTGGTGTTGCAGAGGTGCTCAAAGCAGTTTGCATTGAAAACCATCTCCTCTTGCAAGCACTGATGCCAGGGAGCAGTGCATGGATGTGGGTTTGGGTTAGATCCAACTTTCGGAGCCTGGTTAAGCTCTGAAATGTGTCAGCATTTCTATTTCTGAAGTGCCATAACTGCAGACAGAGATCCTTGACAGAGATACTACAGAGGCCTTGTAAAATATCTGGGCTTATGTAGAGCTCATTTTCCACAACATATAATGTTCCCAGCCAAAAGGTCTGGGCTGTGGAGTTCTGCATTCCTAACAGGACCCCAGGGATGCCAGCACAGCCCACTAAGTCCAAGCTGTAGAAATGTGACTGAAAAGATCCAGATTCAATGTGTGTAATGTCATTGCCTTTAAGGATGACAGTTACATTGCTGGTCTTCTGCAAGGCTTGGACATCTTCTGCTGTGATTGCTTGTATGTTGTTCATTTGAAAGTCGAGTGTTTGACGTTTCGTGTGAGAAGGTTGGGAGGAAGCTGCAGTGAAGAGATGTGGTTGCTGCCCAAGATGAAGATACCTAAGTTGCCAAGATTTGTCACTGGAGTAAAGAACATACTTGTTATTCCTGTCTGTGTTAAGATTCTCCAGGGAACGTGGGCCAGCAAATGCTGTGTCAGACAGAAACATGAGCAGGTTTCTGGCCAGAATGACTGCCTTCAGCTGTCTGTTGTTGGGAAAGTTACACCAAGCTGATGTGACACCTTGAGGAAACAAAGCTGCCTGTCTCACAAAATCTCCTGGTAATGTGAATACACAAAACTGCACCTCATATCTGTTAAACTCCATTATCTGTTGCCCTCAACAGCGTAAAAGTGTATGCCTTTTTCAGTGGTGCTTCCCTGGTACTTTTAAGTTCACATTTAATTGCATGGTTCTGCTAAGAAGAAAAACCTGTCCTGAAATGATGGGTGTGAGCAGGCATCTGTGGGAATCAGGAGATATGAGGTATTTAATGTCTAACTTAATAGCAAAATCTCTTCTGCTATAAAAAAAGCCAGCCACTTCAACAGGCCAAACTCCAGTTTTTAGGGGGGAACAATATTGAAAATTAATAAGAATCTGCTCTGGTGACTTTACTGTCACTACTGTGTTAGAGCTGGTAATATCTGGAAAATGCATATTTCACCTACTGAACTGTAAATTATTGTCCTTAGAGGAGAAGCCAAGATATTGCTCGGATCAGTCTCTCCTTAGCAAAAAAAATCACCAGATCTCTGAAGGTGCTGGTAGTGATTTCCCTGTGAAGGCAGGAAGATGCTGCTATGGTGTGCTGCAGAAGTCTCTGACAGGGACAGCAGGTTCATGATTGTTATGAGCAGAAGTGAAGATGCTCCTTACATATTTTTTAAGTCCAAGTAAAGAATTCAGGTCAGAGAAGTTGAATTCTGGAGGGAAAGGAGCTCATTGAAGCTGAAATTGAGGACTTCTGTTGTGACAAATTGTCATAGGAACCTCCCTCATTCCTAAACCTTCCCAGCTGTAGCTTTTATTTTCTGTAATCTGTGGAAAATATACAGTGAATCTGAAAGAGTTAGGTACGATGAATATAAATAGGAAAACATGGCACTTGGAAAGTCCATCTCCCTCACCTAAACTAACACAACCTGCAAAGTAACGCAAAGAGAATTCTGAGTTATATAAAATGCAGAAGCCAAAACCCTAGGAAGCCTCAGCACAGGCTCGCAGTGCATAGCCGTGGGGTTTTGGGGAGTATGCTTTTAAATGAATGCCTTGAATCACTCCTGTATTAATTTGAAGTGTCTCATCTGCAGTACTTTCTTACCAAAGTTAGCACATATGAGGACTGTTTACTCTTCTGGATTAATTATTAATCCTTTAAAAAGGATCCCCACAAGGTAGTTTTAAATCATGAATGTCATGAGTCTTGTAACAAAACTTACTCTAAGAGAAGTCTTAAGTAAACCTTACAGAGACAAAGTAAAAAAGAGTAGGTCTGGAAAATGTTTCTAGAAGGAATGTGGTCAAATTAACTGGATATTAATTCAGTTACACACTGCAGTGAGGAGACAGCAAGAATGTTTAACTCAGACTAGACAAAGATCATGCCTGATTTGCTAAGTCCTTAAAATGTCTACAAAGGCTTTTCAGTTTTATGTGAAAAGAAATCCATCTATTAAATAGAGAAGTCAACTCTGTAGATACCAGGGAAATCCATTGAACATGCTTGACCTGACTTTGCCTGCTGGTTACATGAATGTCAACCAGACCCAAGTTAGTGCCACCATGAAATAGCCTGCCATGCTGTTGAGGGATGGGAATGCTCATGGCATTGCACTTGTTCCAGCTCCCAGCTGCAATGGGGAGCACAGGCACAGCCAGTGCAGCACCCACCTCCCCTCCTGAAGGACAGAGGGATGTCCTGTCCTGGGTGGTCCCAGGGCCAGCCTAGGAGGGGTGGGGTATTCAAGCTGCTGCTCTGGCGATTTCCTGCCCCATAGCCCTGTAAATGTTAGTCTTGTGGGGAAGTAAACACGTGTATGGCATAGTTGGCCAAGATGAGCACGAATTTGACACAAAGCTAGTGTGCTGGTGGAAGAAAGCAGGGCAGCAGTTATGTGTCCGGAGAAGAAAGCACTGAGCCATGATGTGTAGAGGACAGTGCAGGTGTGTGGCTTGGGAGCACAAGCTCTGTCGGGGTTTGTTGAGGCGCACGTGTGGGGGCTGTGGGGCATGGTGCATGGGGCTCGGGTCTTTCTGCTGGCACAGCCATGAGTATTTGAGGCTAAAGTGCATCTCTGCCTGTCTCTGGCTTAGAAGAGGCACATGGGCTGTGTCTGAACCCAGTAGCCTCAGGAGAAGGGGAAGAGCAGTAGTGTTTATTGCAAACCACAGTCTGGGTTTGGTGAACATTGTTTTCCTTTCCTTTAGGCACAAATCCTATAACTGAGGGGTGCCAGGGAGTGTCGGGGAACCAACGTGGGCCTCCACTGCTGCAGACAGTGCAGCCTGGCAGGCAGGGGCAGAGAGATACCGGCAGCAGTGTGGTGGAGTGGGAGGAAGTGGAGAGGGGGTGCCACAGCAAAATTTCCCGTCTGGGTGGGGAGCACAGCTCCTCAATTGTCCAGCTCCCTCTGGCATGCTGGGTCCCAGCTGAAGTTCACTGCCAAGCAGATAGCACACAGGGACAGCATCAGCAAGGAGGGATGCAGCTGATGCTGCCATGGCTGAGCCCCCCACATGCAGGTGCTTGGCATGACCTGGGGGCAGAAAGCCGGCCCAGTACCTCCTGTGATAAGACTTGTGACAGCACAGGGACTTGGGCCCAGCCTAGAAGCACTGATACAGTGTCAGTATCTACAAAAAAGACAAAATATAGACCTAGAAAAGTTGATGCTTTCAATGCTGGTGAGCAAAGAACCTATGGAGCTAACTGGTGCCATGTGTAGCTTAGACAGATAAAAATAATTTAACTGTCTCTGTAAATGAGAAGAGTGCCTATGTTTTGCTTTTCAAATAAAACAGTGACTAAGTAAGCCCTCTCTATATGCTTCAGGGCATGAAGTGGCTCTCACAGTAAACTGAGGAGAAACTACCCCAAGGGGGATCCTGTTGTGCAGCTCTGAGTGCTCAGAGATTTGTAGATTTAATTCAATGAGGAATTTGCTGTTAGCCCCAGGTGTGCATTTCATAGGCTGCTTTTCCCCGAATCAAAAATCTTGCTTTTTTTTTCTTCTGTTGTCTCCCACTTGGAATAGAAAAAAAAATAGATAAAATTAAAAAAAATATATAAGAAAAGCAAAGATAGAAGAAAGTATTATGGAAAAGGAAAAGCTTACTCAGTCTTTTCTCCTGCCTCTGGAAAAGTCCTGGTACTTTCTTCCTATTCTCATGTGGTACTGCACACCAACCAAATAGCAAATAGAGACATTATCATATCCCCAACTGTGTACAAACTCCTGTATGAAGAGCACAGTACAAGAGGTTAAATCCTTATACCCTTCCTCTTTCTATCTCTCATACCTGTTAAACACCCCTGGGAAACTTTATCATCCTTCAAGCTCTCTGTACAGTGAAGTACAGTGCTGGTTTGAGGGGTTCCCAAAGTCCCCATCAGTGGTGGGAGAGCATGTGAGGGTGCACTGATGCACAGGTGTGAGGAGGAGGATGGACAGTGGCTGATATCCCTAAGCTTATCCTAAGACACCTGTCTTATTCTTCTGACAAAGACCTCCAGCAGGTAACCCAGATGTCTGCAGCTCCATCACTGAGCAGGATGGCAGCTGTCACTCCCTTCCCTGTGCATCCATGCTGGGTGCTCTGCAGCTGGCACAGGTGAGCTCTGTGAGAATCAGCAGATGTAAATCACACAACTGCACCTTGTGGATTTGTGCTGTGTTGGGAGGCAGGTTGCTGCATTGGATATCTTGTGCTGACTTCTCTGAAAGAAAGTGAGGCTGAGCAGAGAGCTCAGACAAACCAGGGGGGTTGGCCGGGTTTGCAAGGTTGCAAGGAAAAGGCATGATGAACTCAGTGTGAGCAAAACAGTAGTTTCAGAGTGAAACAGGAATTTGCCTGGTTTAAATATAGTCAGGTTACTGTGCACTGATGCTTTTCTGAGGCAGATTTTTTAAAAGTGGAAACTGAGGAAAATCTTCATGTTCATGTGAACTGGAATGTCTCTGTCACAGGATAATGCAGATGAGGTTGTAGCACACTATCAAAGGAGAATTTAATGAATGGGAAATGAGTTGAACAAAATTTGATTAATCACTTAGGAAAGGCTTGTAAACCAGCTGACAGTCATAGGTCTTCTTTGGAGGGTGATGGCAGTGGTGGACTTGGCTTTATGAGTTTTATAGTGGACTCAATGATCTTACAGATCTTTTCCAGACTAAACCATTCTACGACTAAGTTCTCTGCCTACACTTTTGTAAAAAGCATTGTGGTGCTGATGGACAACTACTGCAGTACAAACAGTAAAGCTAGAAAGCAATACTTCAATCCAAAAACTAACACTGTTCCTCTTGTATTTAGATTACAGAGAATGATCACTTTTTTGAAAGGGGACAGTATTTCTAGCCATCTCTAAGATGAGTGTGCGTGTGGCAGCTGCAGGCAGGAGGGGAGATATCAGGCCCTGACTGCCCAGGGCAGCGCTGAGCACCGACTTCAGCCACACAGCTCAACCTGTCTTTTTCTTTCCTTTCTTAAATGACCAAGTTATTAGCTTGACAGCTTTGCTGTCTTAAATGGCACTCTTTCTCCACCACCTAGGAGAAAAAGGCATGAGGAAAACTTACTGGGCTCAGAAAATGTCTCAGCCTGACAGAGCTGATCCAGGTCCTGAACTCAATCAGGGAAGTTTCAAGCACTCAAGATGCCATGTGGAGTGCACCCAGGAAGGTGAAGACACCCCAACTTCTCTGGTGCTAAGGCTATGCACAAAATCAGTGCCCTCAGCTCTGGAACAGTGTATAAAGGCCACAGCTGTGCTGGTAACTGGAGCTGATGTCAGGGTTCATCACGCTGAGCTTATTGCTGCAGGCAGCTGAGGAGAGGGGAACAGTCAGCCAGGTAGGAGGGAACCTGCCAGAAGTGCAGAGTGCTTCATTTTCCACACTTGCCTAAACCTGTTGGGTGGGCTGATAGGGTGGGCAGGCACCAAGAGGCCGCAGAACCAGTGCCCTGCTGCTGTATTTGCTACTGTGATGCTTCTGTGCTGACCTGATTGGCTGCGGTTTTTTCCCTCCTCTTTAATTTAGTGTATACATAGAAAATACCTTATCTCAATGACAAGCTGAAAAGCTGGCTCCACATTCCACAAACAGCTCTGTCTCTTCCCCAGCCAGTTCTGTGTTTGCTGGAAATCCTGCTTGCCTTGCTACTGGTCACAAAAAGTTCTGAAAGAATTTGATTGATATGTTTGCTCTTTGTTTATCTTCCATTTCCCATGTTAATGCTCAAAAGCTAAGGCTTGGTGTGGATTTGCACAGACAGGTTTTGGTAGTGGGGGTGCTACAAGGATGGCTTCTGTGAGAAGCTGCTAGAAGCTTCCTTCATGCCCAGAAAATCCAATGCCAGGAGGCTCCAGGATGCCCCTGGTGCCCCTGGCCAAGGCTGAACCAATTAGAAATGGCTCTGTGACAACAGATTTAAGAAGGGGGAAAAAAAGTTGCTCTGCAAATATAATTGCAGCCAGAGAAGAGCAGGGTGACAATATGAGAGAGGAACAGCCCCGTAGACACCAAGGTTGGTGAAGGAGGGACAGGAGGTGCTCCAGGCTCCGGAGCTGAGGTTCCCCTGCAGCCCATGGTGAGACCATGGTGAGGCATCTGTGGCCCTGCAGCCCATGGACATCCAGGGGATGCAGAGATCCACCTGCAGGCCTGGAGGAGACCAGGCCAGAGCAGGCAGATGCCTGAGAGGAGGCTGTGAGCCCATGGGAGGCCTGTGCTGGAGCAGGGTTCTGACAGGAACCTGCCCGCCCATGGAGAGAGGAGCCCACAGTGCAGCAGGTTTGCTGGCTGGACTTGTGATCC